TTATCATTATCGTAATTTGCCATTACACAATATCTCTAGTACTCTAGTAAGAGTAGTTAGTAGTCCAATTTTGAACAGCATCCTGGGAGACAGATTGGATTCAGCTTTTTGATGGTTTATTTGGAACTAGAGGATAGAGTAGAGACATCTTCAGTAGGTAATATCTATCAAACACAAACACTTCCCTCACCACTGTTACAGATCTCACCGGACTGGAACCTCGATTTTTATAGGTAGGTATATTTTTTACACATGTTCACTAAAAAAAACTGCGTATTCAAAATGGCTTCACAGACCATGACCGATGACAAGTTGTGTTTTCATTTGTTTTGATGGTTAACCGTAAGATGACCATCAAGATGTATAGAATAATGGTCATATAGATATTCATTAAGTCCTGAGCAGAATTATCGAATGATGATCTCATCTATAATCAAAATAAGTTGACATTTATTTTATCATTTGAAAACCTTATCCAAATTTCAATCGTATACAATTATTTTCGTATGGCGAGGCAGTGGCGACATCTCTAACAGTACTTCTCAAACCTCTTTTGTTGTGTGCACTACACTGACTCTGTAATATTGGCACAGTATTGGCATTGCAGGAAACTATAAGAATAATTTTGACGACTCATGGAATAAGCAAATAATACTATGATCAGAGATTGGGAGTGTATAATCTCTGCTATGATTATCCTGGGATTTTTTTAATCACACTGCTTTCTGCGTTGATTCTGTGGGTTCCGGAATCTTATTTATTCTAACAGGTGGCGCTAGTGACGCACTGAAATTTCCAGTGCAAGGTTGGTAGAACTGATGAAAATCCAGTGTGTAAGTTGACTACATCAAACCATAAATTGTACAATTTGTTTATGTTTTGAAGAACAATCTCTTGCCTGGACAGGAACAAGATAACTAACTATACAGGGTGATTTACGAGGCCACACGTTAAGAATTTTCCAACTATTTCAATTGGATTGAGAATTTTAAAATCGGTGCGGTGCTATTGTCCATCATTTCCAATCTACTTGAAAAAAATTCAGTCCTCCAGCAATACAGGGTGTGCCAATAGTCGGATTTTTGTGCCTATGCTAAGCTTGAGATTGCGCAACTTCACCAGAATCCACACAACACAGAATATTCTATAAATGTTCTCACAACGTTCATAACATACTTCAGAATATTCCGAAAAATATTCATTGAATATGATGAGGATGTTCTGGATGTTCATAGAATGTGTCGCACAAGAATAATCATAGAACATTCCATCTTAATTAATATACTAGGGAAGTTCCTATAGAATTTCGTTTTTGAGATATATAGAGGGAGTCAAATTTCTAAAATCCTATCTCTGCTGAATCGAATAAAATTTGTGGATTTGTGAAAGGTAGAGTATATGTTCATATGAACTCTCCTTGTTAAAATGAGCTAAGGAACCATATCCTACATTTTTAGCCATCAATCAAATTACACCTTGTATATCACCCTCATGGCCACTTTTGGAACATACATTTATGAACTTATTTTTTCCCCCATATATTGTTCCATGGAATATTTTCTAGACCCTTCCAAGATACCTTTTATATTGAGAATATTCCTTGATCATTTTGAAGATGTTCTATATATTCATAGAAACTGTTCTGAAAAATATTCTGAGAACGTATCTTGGAGCGTTAATTTTCATCCCATGTTCTCGCTTAGTGCACCCTGTGATGTGAGAACATTCTGAGAATATTCGAAATGATCCACAGGAATATTCTAAGAACATTCCCAGGATCATATACAGTAGGTATATCTGAAAACGAAATAAAGCTGTTTCAAAATGACGCAAAAGTTTTCAACTTTTAATCGCTCATAAGCCTATAACTTCTCTCAATTTTTTTGTGATGCCCTATATACAGGGTGATTCAGGTTTTAGAGCACAAACTGTAATGGGAGGTAGATCTCATCATTTTAATCAGAAAAGTTCATATATACATTAGTTCGATCTCGTTCAGTAGCGGAGTTACAAGGGGTCAAAGTTTAATTATTATTTTTTATTAATTGAAATATCTCGCTTACTTTTCAAGATATCATTTTGAAATTCAGTGTGGTCGATACTATTTAGAATATTATCATTTCAAGCCATTTATAGATTTTCAAAATCTACAGGGTGGTACGGTTTTGGGGGTAGAGGCTTCTTTATCTCCCCCAAACTTTTTCGTAGTACGCCTTTGGCATCTTCTTGTGATGAAATTGTGTGGATCGTTCAATTTAGAGGTTTATTCGTTCTCAAATTTTTTTCTAGAAACGTACTGTTTTTGAGATAATTGAGCATATACGTTATGAAACATGTTAATTTTGACAATGTTTCGCTTAAATTTCATTTAACTGAAAAAAAAACTCAACTTTCTACCCTCCGTATTCCCCTAACTGATCCAGATTGGACTAGTGATTGCAATTTTAGTGAGTATATTCCATTGTATTCTCAACGAATTTTGTCAAAGAATAGAATTTAAGCGAAACATAGGCAAAATTAACATGTCTTAGAACGTATATGCTCATTTATCTCAAAAACGGTTTGTTTTCTCGAAAAGAATCAGGAAGCAGGAAAGGCTCTAAATTGAACGATCCACACAATTTGATTCTTGAAAGATGCCAGAGGCATACGACGAAAAAGTTTGGGGGGATAAAGAAGCCTCTACCCACTAAAACCTATCACCCTGTAGATTTTGAGAATCTTCAAATAGCTTGAAATGATGATCTCCTAGGAAGTATTGGCCACACCAAATTTCAAAATGAAATCTCAAGAAGTAAGCGAGATATTTCAATTAATAGAACAAAATTATTGAACTTTGACCTGTAGCTCCGCTTCTGGACGAGATCGGACTAATACTTATATGAACTTATCCGATTGAAATGATGAGATCTATCTCTCATTACAGTTTGTGCCTCAAAACCTGAATCACCCTGTATATCACCTATTGCAAAGTGCGTGCCAAATTCTATGAAATACCATGCATGTTTATATCTATCACTCTCTTTTTCATCCTGGTGTAAGTAAGTATGAATCATTTGGAGCAACTTATAGGTGCATAACCCAGTCTGGCCATTATTTGGACCTCTCAACCTCTGGACCATTATCATTTACCACAGACAGATTTTATGTGATTATATCCTATCTTTGGAATCTGTTTTCGTTTAAACCTTGGAAGATCACCGCAGAACTTATTATCATCTTATCGCTTCACCTTTTGGTCCAAACTTCAGACAAACCCCTGATGTAGGTAGATATACTATATATGATATACTGAAGGAGAATGATGATATGGAAATGATTGGTAAACCTTCCTATATGCAATATTATTACCGTGTGTCCCAGATATTTTCATACAGTCCATATCTCAGTGATCTGAGTGATCTCAGTTTTCCTGCTCGGAAGAATATGTTTGATAATAGCTATTTGTGTATTTAGAGCGCAAAGTGATAGATTGCCGCTCGACAGAGAAAGTTACCGCGCGATGCGTGAGAGTGGCAATAACACTTTGTGCTCGAAATACATATACAAGATTTTTTCTACTAACGCAGCTTCTTGAAATAACTACCCTGAAAGTATGAGCGATTGAAATAGTTGAAAAAGTTCTTATCCATATTATCCCATATGTCCAAAAGAAACAAAAAAAGAAAAATTGAAATAACTGACAAGCCAGAAAAAAAAAGTAGGGCCTACCGAGAATTGAAACTGGACCACCAGCGTGGCAACCTGAGCTTCAGACCTCTGAGCCATAGTACGATAAACTCTGCAATCAAATTGAACATTACTCATTGATGCAATAAAATAACGATACACTGTCTTTCTGATGACAACAAAGAAATAAATATAAAGAATAATTCATCGTTTTCAACAGATATGCTTCATCGGGAGCTTCTTGTAAAAATTTGTTGGTATATTCAGGTGAACGTTTCGGATTTTTCTCGCTTTATATCCAATAGATTGTTTCTTGAGAAATGCGATAAGTTTCAGATACTTATTGATTCCGATATTATCTTTAACATTCAAGCATGTAACCATCGAATATATAAACCAATGAGTTGATGACTTCAAAGTCTTTGATTTTTTACCAAAATAAGCCAGTAAAACGTTTTCTGAATACATATTCACCATCTCGGAGTGGCACCAATTTATGAATGTATCATATTGTAATTCATATTTCTTCCTTGATTTCTCCGGTATAAGAGATTCAAACTCTTGCGCTTTATGCTATATCATCAGGAGGTGTGTTTGATGATTCACTGTCACTATTTTCCATCATACAAGAATTGGGGGTTTTTAAGAATAGATAAGTAATGGTTACAGAGATGTGCGAGCATTTTTTCAATATTTCCGCTCACGAGCGCAAATGCTGTCAAAGAATGACATTTCTGGGAAAACGTCAACTTTGTGCTGGAATTTGAAAGCGTCAAAGGCTACTTTGTTGAGCGTCTGTAGAAAAATACACTTTCGTCAAATCCATTAAAGTCAGCTTCTGCCAAACTGCCCATCAAAAGTCACTCCCAACTTCAATTATTCAAGATAAATTTTTTTGTTGATATGTGAAGTGCAATCAATTCTAACTTCAACGATGTATCATGTATTAGTATTTGTATAGGTAGGTACATCCAACCACTTATGAGACAATGCATTTTATGTTTACTCCAAATGTTGAGTATTTTGTCAATTGAAATATTATAGTCAAATTATCAAAACTGTGATTAAAGGTAGAATTGAGAGCACTTCACAAATTAACAACGAATGTATCATGATTGGCAACGCTGCCGTGAGTGAAGATGTCATATAAGTTAATCTGCGGGAAATGCAAGAAAAACATTGCGAAATCAAATGTGAAAATAGGGTGTACAGGACCCTGCAATCAGTGGTTCCACCGGGAGTGTAGTGCTCTTAACGAAACGCAAATCAATGAGCTCTCAAAGGGAGAATTTGAATTTTCGTGTAACACGTGCAAAGCAGCAGCAACGCCTATGAATGAAGAAGACATCGACGCGGCATTCTATGATGCTGTGGATAATATGAACAACGAAAAGAAATTGGACTCACACATCTTCAGTTATATTTTGAAACAAAAGGACATTATTATCAAGGAGTTGAGGGAAAAAATCAAAATCCTGAACGATCATATTGAATTATTGAATGAACAAAAAAACCAATCAAAGGTAGTGAATGATAAAAACCATCCAAACGATGAGAAGGTACCATTGATCAACAAAAAATCACGGACCGCAAAAAACAGTGAAGGCCAGGCTGGTACGTCGGCTGTGAATAAGGGAATAAACAGCGTTGCCGCGGTGCCTGATATATCAGATAAAATGGGTAAGTCAATCACTACAGAACAGGTTGGTGCAGCTTTAAAGGAAGCAAACTCTCAGGTATTAATGAGGAAGGTCCAACAGTTAAGTAAATCTCCAGCTGAAAACACAGAGAGTAGTAATGGTGACGACTGGGTGAAGGTGACGAAGAGAAAGAGAAGATTCTTGGTGGGTAACACTGACTCTACTTGTGAAGTTGAAACAATTCCCAGATTAGTACAACTACATGTTACGAGATTAAAGCCTGGAACTCAACCACAAGATCTCCAGAGGTTTCTTGCAGAGAAACTTTTGGGAGTGAAATGTGAGGAGCACCCTTCCAGAAGACCTGATATTTACGCCTCTATGAAGGTTACCATAGATCGCCAATGGCTCAAAACAGCATGGACTCGCGAAACATGGCCAAACGGTGCAATAGTTTCTTTTTTTGCAAAAAAGAGGATGTTGTCCGAGACGACAAATCCTCAAACCATGAATCAAATTTAATTCCAGTTAAAGCGATGGACTGCCAAAACTTGGTAAACAGAGTGGATAGTCAATCATTAGTATTAATCAGCGTTAATGTTCAGTGCTTAACAAATAAATTATTGAACTTGGAAATCTTCTGTCAACAGAAAAAACCTGACATTGTATGTGTCCAGGAACACTGGTGTACTGAAGAAAATGTGAAATACATGCATGTACCAGGTTATAGTCTTCTCACCAGCTATACCAGAAATAACAAAATACATGGTGGTACTTTAATAATTGCTAGTAATTCATTTACTTTTAGAACGAATGTGATTGACTGCAGTAACTTGTACACTGAAGACTCCTTTGAATGTTGTGCAATATCTGTTGTATTCACTAGAGGCAAAATATTAGTTGTGAATGTGTATAGATCTCCATGTGGTGAGTTTGATGTATTTATTGATCGGTGCTATTCTTTACTGGCCAGGCATATCAAGCATCATGACTGGGTATACCTATGTGGGGACTTCAATGTCAATTATTTAATTCCGAGTAATGAAAAGTCTATATTAGATGATCTACTACAGTCATTTGGCTTCAGATTAAGTCTCCCCAACAAACCTACCCGTATATTTGAATACAAAAATAAAGTTACTGGGACCAAAATTGACTATATAGCAACTAATGATGTGTCTAACACTATCACTTGTCATATTGATCAGCCCAATATTGGTGACCATCTGGCCCTGGTCTTCAACATAATTATCAATGATTCTACTTCAGACACCCCAAATAAGAACATTAGCTACTCCAAAAATTTCAGTTTGGAAAATCTTGATATGTTAAGGCAAGACCTGTTGAGGTTAGGTTTTGATGAAGTATATTTACATTCACATAAAGGAATGAATGAAGCTTTCCGTAGTTTCATGGAAACCTTAAACTTTGCCGTTGACTCGAACTGCCAGATGATCAGTAATAAAGTTAAGAAATATGCAAATTATAATAAATGGTATGACCAAGAGATTCATGAGAAAGGTAAGCAACTAAAAAATTTATATAGTAGAGCTCGCAGTCTGAATAATGAAGGCATCTGGGAATACTATAAAAACTTTAAAAAAGACTACAACTGTCTAATAACCAAAAAGAAAAAAGAGCACAATGACCTACTAATTACAAACAGTGGTAACAAACAGAAAACAATTCGGAACATAGTCAACAATACTGTTGGTAGAAAGCAAAAAATGAATAAGATTGAACTAAATATAAATGATGAAATAATAACTGACAGTATGTCACTTGCCCAACATTTTGCTGTAAACTTTAATGAGAAAACTAGGGAGCTAGAGCATTTATTCAATGAAAATACTAACAATTTCACCTTCACAACTAATTGGACAACAAACAGTTTTGCTTACTTTCCTGTCACCAATGCGGAAATTGTAGATATTGTCAGTGATATTAGAAATAAACGCTCTGTAGGTGATGATGGAATTAATATCATATTGATCAAACATATAATCGATGTGATATCAGAACCTCTTGCATTCTTGATCAACTTATCCTTTCAAACCGGAGTATTTCCACACGACTTGAAATTGAGTAAACTAATCCCAGTATACAAAAAAGCGGATCCTACATGTATCGACAACTATAGATTAATCTCTCTGCTGAATGTAATTTCAAAAATCTTTGAGCGGGCATATCATATCAGGATAATCACATTTCTAGAAAAAAATGAAATTTTGTCCAATAATCAATATGGATTTCGACCTGGAAGATCAACTGAGGGAGCTACCCTTGAATTCATGGACACTGTCTATAGTTGTTTGGACAAAGGGTTATATGTGGCAGGTATTTTCTTTGATCTAACCAGAGCTTTCGATAGCATCAAAAGAGAATTGGTGAAGGATAAACTTTATGTTTATGGTATAAGAGGATCTATGTTGGACTTATTGGACTCATATTTATCTGAAAGAAGTTACTATGTGCAAATTACAAACGAAAGGTCTGATATGTATAATATAGATATGGGTGTTCCGCAGGGATCTGTGTTGGGGCCGCTTTTATTTCTCTTATTCGTCAATGATTTGCCAGAACATATCCATGATCAGATAATAATGTATGCGGATGACTCCTCTGTAGTGGTCACGTCACATACTTCTGGGGGGCTTCATGAAAGAATATCATATGTAGTCGATACTTTTCATAAGTGGTGTAATGGAAATCATATAAAACTGAACCTTGGTAAAACAGTTTACATGCATTTCAGATGCAAAAAAGGTGAGCCCGCGGTGTGCATACCTGATATAGCATGTGTGTCAGAGGTGAGGTTTCTGGGTGTTATTGTGGACCAATTTATATGTTGGGACCCCCACATAGAACACTTGAGTAAGAAACTCAACTCTGCATATTATGCTATAGTGCAACTTAAAAAAACGTTAAATTTGGGCACGATTATTGAGATATACTACTCGTTAGTTTACAGTCACCTTACCTACCATGTTTGTTTATGGGGAAACTCTGTAAACGCCAAAAAAATATTTAGTAAACAAAAGCGTATAATGAGACTAATATTCAATATTCCATTCGGTAGTACTTGCAGGCAGGTGTTTGTGGACAACTGCATCCTACCATTACCATCTATATACATCTTAAAGACTCTATTGCACGTCAAGCACAACCTGAATAGGCTATCTAAGAATTCTGACTGCCATGATCATTTCACGAGAAATGCCAATAACCTCATGATATCAAAACATAGATTGTCCAAGTTTGAAAAATCTGCGAACTATACTGGGATCAAGTTGTATAACCACCTGCCTCAAGTAATCAGAGAGATGCCAACAGGTAAATTTAAAAATGTCCTGAAACGTTTGCTTGGTAAAGGGGCATATTATAGCATCGATGAGTACTATGCATCGAACTTACTATATGAACTGTGATGATTTTTATTAATTGTCCTTGTTAACAAATGTTATTAACTAGTGCTATTGTTTTGTAAATTTTAATTTTGTGTACTGAGATGTATTGTATTTTAGACTTGTACCTATACTTTGACGTATATATCCACCTATGGTGGTAGCTGTGGCGATATGAATAAATTCTATTCTATTCTATTCTATTCTATAGGGTTGGAACTTGACTGATTAAAGTTGGGGTAGTTTGACAGAAGTTGACTTTGATACAATGCCTTAGTCATTTGGGTTTGACAAAAGTGTACTTTTTAAAATTTATTTTCTAAGCTGCTGAAATATTTGCTGTATGAAAAGATCCGGAACACCCGTTATATCACTCTGTGGATATGATAGCAATTTGTGTAGTTTTGTCTAGTCCTGAAAAAAATGTGTTCAGATACAATCACCAACCTCTTTATTAGAATGATTTCTACAATCTACACCTGAAGACTTTCTAATTAAACAATCTCAGCGCGTCTTGCATGGTTTTGCTTTCAAATCAATTATTTAGGACTCAGATGAGGTATATATATTATTGTTAATGTTAATACGCTTCGAGAAGCAACGACGCATGCTCAGAAGACCGCGAGAATAATATGCAAAGTTCACTGGATTGGATTCATTCGCTGTTATGTACATGTGGAATGGTTACGTTGAATTTATTACACTTAGTATTATTTGCACTTGGATACCTATAGAGTGACTTGGAATTTTAATTGATTTGATAAATCAAGGTAAGAGTAGTCAGCATGATATTTCGAATCTAATATTCAGGTAACATATTTCAAATTTGAATTTAATGAGTGGGTACTCTAACATCTAAATTATCTCAAGGAGGTGTTTATGACTATGGAAATTAACTACGTAATATTAATTATACAAGAAGCATGATTGAGGTAGACATAAGTGAAAAAAAAGTTCTTTTTTCTGTGACATTTCATCTCTGTTGACAGGTTATAAAATGTCACTTTTTATAAATCACTTTTTTCCCACGGGAGAAAGTGAGTACTTTTTTTCCGGATATATAGATACACTGTTGTTCTAGTTCCGAAAAATATGAACTGCAAGTCCGTTTATCTTACGTAAATTACTAAACTATCACCAAGTTCGCAATTTTTAAAATCAAATCACAGAATAGACTGACAGATATTTGATTACCTACTTCGAAAGAATGATGAAGATGCTTGCAACACAGGTGTAATTCTTGTTAAAAAATTCAAATTTCACGTCAATAACTTTCTGATTATAATATAATGTAATATCTTCTCGATATTGATTATTTCTTTTTCCTTAATCAAGGTATGGATTCTCCAAAAATATCTGATTTTCAATCATCTCTGAAAATCGCTCATTTCATTATATCCTCGAGATGGAATTTTTATAGGGGACAACGAAAAAAAAAAAAAAATTAGCAAGAGTCCATAGTATTTTTTGTGCCAATTTTTTTTATCGGATTGAAAATGGTTGTATGATGTTATGTACCATGTAGGTACATACAACGTGTATACATTTGATGAAACAATTATTACAATCATTATCGTATAGTGCAGTTTTTATCAAAAATACCGTATCTTCACTTGGGTAATCCAATGTGTGAAACAAGTAGTCTGCTGCATATATTTTTATATCACTGACTAGTGACTATACAAGGTGGGTCACGGTCAATGGTATGTACCTTTTAGACGTTTTTTTATCACTCGGAGCGCACGAAAGGCAATCCTTATAATGTTCGAAGAACATCGTGCGTACCTAGGGAGGATAGGGAGAGGAGGTAGGTGTTGGGAATTTTTTAACTTTTGGGGATTATTATTAATTATTATTAAGTTATTCGATGCTTGGTATAACTATCAACAATAACCTTTGTTGGGAAAATCACGTGAGATCAATTGCTAAAAGTGCATCCCAAAAACTTGGTTTCCTGTTTCCTGTTTCCAGGAGCTATTTCACTTCCAGTCAGCTGCTTATGATCTATAAGGCACAGATCCGACCTGTCCTGGAATACTGTTCCCATATTCGAAGTGCAGCACCCAAACATACCCTGAAACTGTTGGATTTTGTCCAAAAAAGGGCAATCCGTCTCTT